TTTTTTTCGTCGCGCTGTGATGACGTCACATGCACGCTTTCGTCGAGCGCAATTTTGTCCTCCGCGATTTTGTGGTGGAACCCACCACACCATCCTGGCTTGGAAGGAGCAGAGCTGTCGACGGCCCTGAGGCCAGTCAGGCTGGCGTAATGTGGGAAAGCTCTAATGGCAAGCCAGGATGCCATAAACACCACAGGGGGAGCTAAAAGGCCCCAGCACAGGCGCTCCGTTGCTGATCTGCTTAAAGATCTGCTCAAGGGACAGGAACGCCCTTCCCCAAATCCTTTCTGTTCGGGCGGGCGGGCGGGCGAGCCCTTCCCTAAGTTGAGGCGGCATCTCCTGGGGCTCGGCTCCACTTGGCCGGTCCCTCCTGAGGCAGGGGATCCGCGTGGCACCAAGCCGGCTCAGGTTACCTTCCGCCATGTCTCTGTCCAAAGGGGGGACGTCATCCGCCATGGAGAAATCCAGCATTCCTCCTGCTACTTCTACCAGGTCTTCATCGCTGCTGCTGCCGCCGCCGTGGAAACTCCCGTGCCGGAAACCCGTAGGATTCATGGCCAGAGGGCACCACACCTGCAAGGGGAAGTGGGGGTTCAGTTCTGCTGACGCGGCCCTGCCTGGATCCCCGAGCGTCACACCGCCCCCAGATCTGGCTCCTGGCCCACCTCGCCTAGAGAGACGGTTTCCTCGCCAACTGCCCCGGGAAACCCCCAGCAGCCGAGCCTCAGTCCTACAGCCAGCAAGGCCCAGGACTACTTTCACAGGCCCAGCCCTCTGTCGAAGTCAGCCCTGCTGGTCTCCAGCCAGAGGAAGCCCAGACTGGGTTAAGGAACCCAAGGGGTCTTTCCCTAGTGGGGAGGGGAAAACAGCCTCTCCGTGGGCACTTTAGCCATACCGGGCACCCCCCTTTCCCCTCTCACTGGCCTCCTTCCTAGACCCCCTACCCAAAGGGGAGACTTCTAAGACACAACGCCTGAGAAATCTCCACCAGAAGCCCACCACCCCTCCGGCTGCCTTCGTGGCACACCCGGGAAAAAGAGGCAGCCGAGAGGGGCTCCGTCCTTGGGAGGCATTTAAAAGCTGCCCCTGAAGGACCATTCAGATGAGAAATACAAGTTGGAATGGAGAAGATGGATTGACTACATTCAAAATAAATATCGGACTAAGAAATTTCAATTAGCTTATGAATGAACGAACCAAGGAATGTTATAACTTATCTAAATTTAGCTTAATAAAAGGGGAGTTAAGGGTAGGAAGCTAGTTAGTTAGCTTATGTTAGTGTATGATTGCTAAATGTTTATCCCCTGTATTTTGCTCTGGGAAGTTGGGGAGAGGGAGGATCGGAGGGGGGGGGGAAGATGGGGGGGGGAGGGAGGGAAGGGGAAATATTTGTAAAATTTATTAAAACTTTTCAATAAAAATAAAAAATAAAAGCTGCCCCTGGAAGCTCAGGAAGCATCTTGAGGGAGGCTTATCTGAGGTTGCAGAGATGGGGAGGGGAGAATGGGACACCTGCCAGGTAATTCCTCCATTGCCGAGGACTGAAGAGAGTGAGACATGAGGGAGGCAGTCAGGTGAGCTCCCCCCAGCTCTACTTCTCCCCACCACCCCCTGCCCAGCCCTACACATTCCCTCCCTCCCCCTTTTGGGAATGCCCGCCTTCTGCTTCTGGGCTAAAGCCCAGGCAAGGCTGCCCCCGTGCGGTGGATTTCAGGCCCAGGAAGGGAGCCGGAAGTGGCAGGGGAGAGCTCCCAGATTGGGCTCCCTATTATGCCCATTTACCTCCCCTCCCCAAGTGCAGACGAGGGAACTGGCAGGGAGGGCAGGGGAGAGACCTGGCACCCGGCAATGTGCAAACAGCTGCCCTTTCGCTTGAGAAGGATCAAAGGCCTCGCCAGAGCCACCCAGGAGGGAATCCTTCCAGCATAGCACAGACCTGATGGCAGCCACGGAGCAGGGAAGAGGGAGCAGCCAGGCCTGGCTGGACAGCAAGTCAGCCGCCTCTTGAGCCAAACTCTTCCAGCTGCAGCTCTACTTGCAGAAGGAGGAGGGTTTGGGACTCCAGAGGTTTCATAGGAAGCAGCTGTTCCATCCCAATGAAGGGGGGGGGGAGTTGTCCTGGCTGCTTCCAGGGCCCGTAGAAAGGCTGCCTGCCATTAGGGAGAGCTCTGGGGTTCTCGGGGCTGGGCCAAACGAGGACGGAAGAGATCCTCCTTCCCTAAGGAAGCGCCCCCCCTTCCCTCTTTGCCCCAATGGGCTCCAGGCTCCCCCCTCTCCCTGCTTCGAGGGCCAACACACACACTTGCCTGGATGAGCAGTGACTCGGCACTCCAACCCGCAAAGCTTTGTACTGACGGAGCAATTTCACAACAGCAACGTTCCTCCACCGAGAGTGTTTGGTCAGAAGTGGTTCACCCCCCTCGACCCACCCACCCAAACAGCTGCGGTGCTTCTGGGGCTCTTGCGCAAACAGATTTTGAAAAGGCAACAATTATATATATATATATAGCTTCCTATTTAATCTAGGGAAGCTGAGCCCGAGAATCAGAATTTGGAGCTCGGGAGTCTTTTCAAGATGGGGACTTTCTGAGCTTCAGAAGGGTCCGGAGGAAGAGGAACGGGGGCGGCTCCAGAAGAAGCTGGGTGAAGAGTTATCGGAGGCCCCCCAAGTCGGACGCTTCCGACGGCTGTAGATTCTCTAAGGCATCCCACAACCCCACAATTCGGAGGGGCAGCGTCCCTTTCTCCCCTGAACCCCTGGGGTGCATTGAGAGGCGTCTCCTTCCCCAGCCCTTCCCAGGGACCCTCTCCTCCTCCTCCTCCTCCTCCTCCTCCACGGGGAAGCAAAGTCTGAGGAGGGGAAGCCAGGGGTCTATTCCTGGACTGGGTGAGCCCCCTGCCCGCCGGGCAGAATCGGGAGCGGGAAAAGAAAAGGCTTTTCAGCAGTTGGACGGCAGAGGAGCAAAATTCACAGGGGCCGGTTAAGACTCTTGGCAACCAGGTCTTGCTGGGAGTCACAGCTACCTGAACAGGTGCTTAGGAGCCCTGGGCCTAGGGCAAAATGCGGTTGCCCACGAGTTTGGCTTAAAGGCACCCAGTTTCACCCCCTGCTTTTCGGGGGTGGGGTATACCTTTACAAGGCCCCTTTCCGAGGAAGGCTGCCGGGCCCTGAAGGCCAGGCTGGGCTTTCTCTCCTCCAAGCTTCCTGATCTCTCTAACCCAGTCCAAGTGACCCCACGATACGGCCTCGCAGTCCAAGAACAGCCTCTGCTTAACGCCTGAACTCATTAAATCCACATTAAAGCAGCAGGTGATCTCAAGATCACGTGTCCACAGAGGTCACCCTGCTGAGCAGGTAAATGCCCTCGGGGTCGGAGCCCGCAACCGGAGCCAAACTACCCAAGGGCAAAGCGGAGCGGACGTCAATCCATGGGCCCGCAGAAAGCTCTGTTCTCGCGGCTGGGGGGGGAAGCAGCACAGGCCTACGACGCCTGCGGTACCCCCAGCCTGGAAAGTTTTCACAGAAAGGAGCAGTTTGGTTTCCAGGGAAGGGAGTGAAAATGCGGAACGGGAAGTGCCTTTTCCTTGAAAAGCTTTGCTTCCCCTTCCAAGAACCGGGAGAACTGACTTCCTTCCTTCCTTCCTTCGTGCTGAGCAAGGCCAAATCTGCACGCCGATCCGATCCGTTGCAGTCAGGGGAATCTGATTCTGCTTCCCTTGCCCAAAATATTTCTGAGTGGAAGGCACAGGTTGCCAACTTCTGCCCAGGGAGCCTTGGCCTTTGACACCTCTGCGACGTCACAGCCTCGCTTGGACCTGGCTGGGTTTAAGGCAGTGTTTCTCAACCTTGGCAACTTGAAGATGTCCGGACTTCAACTCCCAGAATTCCCCAGCCAGCATTCGCTGGCTGGGGAATTCTGGGAGTTGAAGTCCGGACATCT